ATTAAACGTTACGTTGCTTTTTTTGGTTATATAAAAATTTATTGACACTAATTAATTCAACATTTGATTCAACAGCTAATGCCTTGTCATTGACGACAAGGCATTAGCTGTTGAATTTTTTACTTAAGAGATTAGGGAACGACCATACTTATCGACGCGGAGTCGGCTTGAACTGATCACAAATACTTTATTGTCGCTCAGGCATATCACGTGTCACTCAACACCATTTACCTTTATTCTTTTATTTAGCTTAAACATAATATCTTTTTAGTATCAAGACTGACCATGGTCTCTTTTTAACTAGTAGTTCTCACGGTAGCCAACGCTTATGTATTTTTCTGCTTATGAATTCTTAATCAGTAATAGATATAGGTGTACTCGTTTATTGCCCTTACCTTTACCATAAACAATAAAACTTACACCCGAAAAACATAAACTTCCCTAGAGACAGTGGACTGTAACTGCAAATTAGACACATAACTGTGAAACTCAAGTTTAATCAGCCTATTTAAGTGGGCGTGTGTCCACTCCATCAAGGCTGACTGTGTTTGAAAACTCCATGCCCTTGATTAAGATGTAAATGCAACACTTACGTTAACAAATTACTGCATGCCGGCATTGATAAATGATGATTTATAGGAGTCGGCAACAAATTGTTAGAACGTCAATTTGCCTCGGGTCTGTTTTATGTTTTAAATTATACTTTATTATTAATGTATTATATTTGCAATGGATTAAGGTAGGGCATATTATGCAACAAAAATATATAGATATTATTTGGTCCTAATGCACAGTCACTGATAATGCGTATGGATTATACACTGCTGCGAATTTAATTAAAGAGAGACTTTAATTATCTTTAATTAAATGACACATGCTGTGTAAGTGCATATGTAGGATTAAAGAGACGATATGCTAAAATATATTATAATATCAAATAGTGAAATTATATTAAAAACATTTTGTGAATGGTTTTACATTTTTGGATAATAATTATAGTGTGTGTTCGCTGGACTTCAACCGCGTGAATAAAAACTTTTATGCAAATTGAAGGGATAGATTTAGAGAGATTAGAAAAAACTCAGTCGTCGATTATTGGTGCTGATCTTTGCCGTTATGCCCCAGCCCAGAGGTAAGGGCATTATACCATATAAGAGCGAACTTGCGTCTTGTATAATTGCAAACGGTGTGCCGGCATGAAATACTGTCCCGCTCTATTGAGAATGCCAATCTTTTTATAGACCAATTTGGCCTTCCCTTTCAAGTGAACGCGGAACTAAACGGGTATAACACATTAGTTTATACTATAAATGGTTATAAGACAAACAACCAGATCCAATATTATTTTATGAAATCACACTATCCATTTTTGTACTTCCAATGTAGTGAGATGCGCCTCATTATTGACTACGGAACTTAGAATATACATAAGCAAGCTTTGCTAATGCTAAGCTACGGGTTAATTATTCCTAATGAGGGCTAATCATTTTCTGTTCACCAGATGTCGCTAGTTGACAATGAGCTAAAGTTTTTTGTTACACAATGTCATTTAATTCAGAAGTTGGTTTTTAATAAAAGTTTATCAGTTGGAACTTTTTTTTTAATTTTTCTACTTTTATGAATATCTGTGGTTTGGTTTATTTATTTTTAATATTATTAATATAAAATATAGCTAATAGTACAGAAAGAAACATTAACCTTTACATTTTCCGAACAAATTAACTTCCCCGCTTTGAAATCTGTCAAATATTAAACTTCACTTTCTAGTGGCGCCGCCCTGGTGGCAGAAAAAGTCGTGGATGCCCTCATGTGACAACCCAACATTCTTTAATATTTGTGATGAATACCTTTTATAACTTATAAACCCTTTTTAATGAAAACGGGGCATTCCATCATAGTCCTCAGAGGTGACATCTGCATTTTAATTGTTATCTGAGGATAGATGTAGATGGCTATGGGCCACAGTATCCACTTAGGATAGGTGGACTGTGTGCTCGTTTGTTACGAATCCCAGCCAGAGGCTATATTTGTTTTTCAAGTCTGTTTGTTGATTAGGTAAATAGTATCGGTGTTACTTTTATTAATTGTGTATAACTTTATTTGTTCGATAATATCCGAACGCAAAAATAAAGTTTTAATTTTTTTTTTCTATTTTTTTCTTATTTTTAGAAAAACGTTATCTTCACACTGGGATTTTCTCGTGTATCGTGGGGGCAGTTTACATACATAAATTCCATATATTTCACAAGGACAAACATTGACACAAATTTGAACAATTACCTTCACTAAAATTAACCAGGCTTGATGGTAATATATTTGCCATGTTTATTCGTAACAATTTTCGTAATTTTTCAATATTAATATTTTGATTATTGATAATACACCACAAGGGATCTTGCTAAAATTAACAAAGTTTCTTTATTTCCTGCTTGTATCCAAGAAGTTTTACCGCTTTTAATTCTCTTTTTCAGCTTTTACATATATTAAATTAAATATGAAATTACTTGTTCTTGCTAGATACAGTTATAAGAAAGATGTCCGCCGATAAAATATTCGATAAATTGCACATGTTCTTTTTAAGAAGCCACCACTATTTGTATATGATTTTTCCGGTAATTTATATTATTAGTGGTGGATAAAATTATCTATCTAGGCCCAGGCCTTCCGAATATACTATAATGATGATAAAAGTGGTTGGTTGGTTTAAATAACCAACTGCTGGTTCAGAGTTATACGTAGATTATGGACTGTATGATGTGTTAGAATATAATATTTCGCGATACTGCAAATGTCCCTAAATCCGAGCTACAGGAAGGGTATGACGGACGGCATGTGCACTCACCTGGACTTCCGCTAATCTGCCTCGTGTCTCGAAGACTGCGTTGCACATTGATTAGATGCTGGCTGTCTTCACACATATAACCTCGCAATTTATCGCGAAATATAGCATTATAACAAATCTCTAAATCTTAATTATATTCTTGTAAAAGTTCAGTATCTAAATTACATCACGGATGGGCGATGATGCCGTTAGTTGCGTGACTTGCGAGCTTGTAAGAACCCCGTTTTAACACATGAGTGCACATGCTGGACATAAATGGCGGTAGATAGGAAACTCGGAAATGGGCCTTGCAATACTCTACTTGGACAACAATTAACGAATCTCATAAACGTTAGGTGATAGTTGCAAAGTGGTGCGAACAATTAGGTTATAGTAATTATTATGAGTAGCAATTGAAACGCGAAATTAATGAATTCACGAATATTTTATTGACTGCACACTTTTATTTTTTTTACTTGTCGTAGTAGAGAGAGAGTTTTTTCCATTACTGTTTTGCATAGTTTCCCATTATGTGTTACCACATAGGCGGCCATACTAATATTTGTTCCGTGCGGAATTCGAACTCGCGGCTCCCTGCAATTCATTGCTAAGCCACAGTGCCACAAAGCCGTCACGATTCTATCGTTATATATTTCTTTCGTCACATATTTTCCATATTTATCATGGCACACATTATTTATGACGGCTCCGTAGCGCCAGTGGCTTAGCAATAAGTAAAAAAAAAAGACTAGAATAGAATAGAATAAGTTGCTGCGCTAAAGGCCGCCGGTTCGAATCACGCACGGAACAAGTATTTGTATGGTCTACAAATAATTGTCGTGGGTCTGGATGTTCGTTCGTTTAAAATCTATGTATGTGAACTGCCCCCACGATATAGGAGAAAATCCTAGTGTGGAGGTAATGTTTTTTTTTTTTTAAAGAAAAAAATATTACAAACAAGTCATCGGCTTCGCACTTATTTCAGAACTACGAGATTCCATCAGGACGCCATCATTATAAAAAATATGGATGTGCAAGACGCAAGAAAATATTTTCCAAAGTAACCTATAGAGTGAGTTATAAAAAAGTTAAAGTAAATGAAATATAATTAATTTTCAAAATTTTTGTAATACTCGTACTTTCAGAGAACACACCACTGTTAAAACGCGCTAATGATGATCAGTGTGAACTTGTCCTAAGGCTTTCTCTTTAAGAGCGAAGTGCGTTATGCTGCAGCGAGATGTAAAAGACTATTTTATTAAGACCTATCTATATTCTCTACATGTTCACTAGAGCCCGGGAAATTGACAATAAATCTTCGCGAAAGTGCTATAACTCAAAGGACTTACGTCCAAGTGCATATTATTGTGTAAGCACCCGTTATATTTCATTTGCTTCAAGGTGTGTACGATTGAAATTAATAGAATATTATGCTAGTAACACTAGAAAGGCAGCTGGATATATTTGTGTACATCATTTTTTACAAGAGGTCTAGTGCAACTTACAACTTTCGATAGTACTAGACATTTTTTTCTTATATTTACGCGAAGACTACACATTAAATGAAACTATTTTTTACGGACCCATCTGATGGATGGGTGCTGCCATCTGATTGGGATTCATATAATTAATAAAATTAAATCCAAACCCAAGCATACCACTGCAAAAATTCCAGATACTTTAAGCTCATTCTGCGTAGATCGGACCAAAAATTAATATTCAAAAACTGAAAATAGCCGGACTAACTATGACATCGGGACGTTAAACACCTCAGTTCCGCCGTGACAATGGGTGCTGTAAAGCACACGAAACGTCGGTAATTAAAAAGTTATATTAAACGCGAATCCGTAAAAATTAGTTCCAATTATTAGTACTAGGAAGTTGTGTCAACAAATACGAGTAGGCACCATTAGAAACCATCCATTACAGTGTATCAAAGTCTACTCCCAAACATAAGCCTACTCATAGATTCATAGGGTATATTTGCCATAGTTTGACAACTTGCTACGCTTGGAAGGCGGGTATCTTCTTATTTTTTAATAATTACCTGGAAGTCGCTGCTGCATCTCCTGATTTGTATCCCTCCGTTGCCTCTTACGACTCCCACGGGATGATATGTTATAATGACATTACAATACTTACATAATAATTATATTTTTTCTTATTCTTCCAAAATCAGATATTGAGTTCTGTCAAGAAATTCTCAGTAACAGTCTGGAGTCAGGAAGTTAGCGGTGGTTCACCTCCGTGCTTTGGAAAGCAGTTAAGCCGATGGTCCTGCGCCTGATCTCTCTCCGGTCGTGTCGCAATGTCATCCTAATTGAGGGAATATAAAGTGCACCTGTACTTGCGCATACACTCAGGCACTGTAATCCGGTTGTTACGGACAGCGAGAGACCCGCCGCCCCGTCGCCCCTTCGTTCCCCGTTACGTCCCGCGCACCCCGCACGCCGGCGCTGATCACGCGATATCGGGCAACCAATCAGCGCGCGTGCGGGAAAATTGCCATCGGGCGGCTAACCCGACGAAATGAAGCGCTCTTCTCGGAAATATAAGAAGGGCGCCTCGGACGTTCATTCGTTCATTCGGGTTCATTCGGGTTCCTTCGGATCATTCAGAAGCATTCACTCGGAAGCGGCAAGGAAGAATCAAGACAGAAGACTCCATACTGAAGACCTCCCTTTTGTATAGTGATTAGTTAATGTACCGAACCCATTGTAAATAGTGAATATAGTATAATTAAAAGTACCATCTTTTCTTCGAGCAGTCCCCTAGTATAGCTAACCTCACACCGCCAGTTTAAAATACCAAATACAGTCCACTACTCTCCATCCACTTTATCTTGGTCCATCGTCGCCGGATAGCAGCCAGAAGAAGGAAGAAAGAAGAAAGAAGGCAGTTATACAAGAAAGAAGGTAATTATAGAAGAAGGAACATAATTACAGAAGAGAGAAGATTATTATAGAAGATCTTCAAGGAAGAAAGAAGTTCGTCGACGAAGAAAGAAGATCGTCGGTACTAATTTCTTCCCTGTTCCTTGTTACGCCTACGTCATACGCGTCTATTGTCTGTTTCCAGACAATTTCTTGTTTCTTAACCGCGTTTACGCGGCCAGTGGTCACTCCCTAACGGTGCCAAACTGTGACCATCTGGTAACGCCCTTGTGGCGGGAACGACATCCATACGTGTGTCTTTTTAAAGACTGTACGTACGTCTTTTTGAAGACGACCGGAGGTCGCAACGTGGGACCATGAGGAAGACACGAAGCCAGAAGACACGGAACGATGATGACACGCCGGTAGGAATGCGCATATTCGAAGAAGCACCCGCGTCCCCGTCCGATTATCTCGCGATGGCACAAGCGCCCTCCGCCGCGCCCGCGCTCCAGGCCCCGCCCGCGCCCGCATCTACGCCCGCGCCCGCGCCCCCGCCGCCGCGCCCCGCTATGTCCGTGTCCACGACCGATCGTTTGGGAGAGGTTAGCATTTCCGCGCCGCGTACAGAGACACTCGCCGCGATTATAGAAGATCTTCCGTCTACAGAGATTAGTTCGATAGTACGTACCGTCGCGCCTGTAACAGACGTACATAGGCCCGCGCCCCGCGCCCCGTCGGTTCGCTCCGTTCGTTCAGCCCGGTCGACGGCTAGTGCGATAGCTAAATTAAAGCAAATTGAATATAACGCCGCGGAGGAACTAGCTGCAATTAGGAGGAAGCAATTGCAGTTGGAAGAAGATCTTATTAGGAAGAAGTACGCTAGGGACGTCGCGCAACTGCAAGAAGAAACAGATAGGGAAAGTGTCAACGAAGACGAGTTAGTTGAAAATAGGGTACGCGTTGATAGGTGGTTAGAGAACGTAGAGACTGTGCGGGGGGAGTCGCCTTCCCGCCCCTCTCAGCCCGCGCCCCGCATCGAGTTAGAGCAGACCCTACCGAACAGGGTAACCGGTTACGACCACAGTGAAGATGCCCAGGGGAGGACGGAAGCGAATAACGTTCAACCGCGCCGCATAGATTCGGTACAAAGGGAAGATGGAGTCGCCGCAGGAATGAACCAGGTGGATCGTCGTGTACGGGTTACGTCGCCGTCGCGCGTCCAACGCCGCACTCTATCGCCTACACATAGATCGCCACATCGCCACGCGGATCGTAGATCACCGTCGCCGCATAGGGATGTAGGTGCGCATAGGACGCCAGCGCCACAGCGTAGGCTAGAGAGAGATAGGGATAGAGATAGGTCGCTCACTCCGCGAGAAAAGGATAGGGGTATAGAGCGACTAGCGGAAGCTCTGGAGAATATGGTCAGAGTTAGGCCCGCTGCCGCGAAGCAGACGCAGGACTTGCCTATTTTTAACGGTTCGGCCGCGGAATGGCTAGCGTTCAAAGCCGCGATGAAAGAATCCACGCGTCTATATGGATTCACAGATACGGAAAATATGGCAAGGTTAAGAAATTGCTTACGCGGTGAAGCTAGGGAAGTAGTATCGGCACTGCTGTTTACCGCAAAGGATCCAGCAGATATTATGCGAACATTAGAGCAGTGTTTCGGCCGCCCAGAAGTAATTATCGATCGCGCGTTAGAAGAATTGAAACGCCTTCCGCGCCCGGGTCAAACTGCACAGGAGCTAAATGCGTTCGCAATAAAGTTGCAAAATATCGTGTGCATTTTGCAAAACGTCGACGGCAAGGGATATCTGCAAAATCCAATGCTTACTAGGGAGGTAACGAGTAAGTTAAGCCCTCACTTACGGTCGCGTTGGTGTGATTATGCGGAGCACTACGGGAGTGCAGACGAGCCGGACATCGTTACACTGTCCAGGTTCATGATGAGAGAGGCTGATCGTGCGTTGAGTCATGCCTATACTTCCGTAGAGCCGACTAAGGAATCGCCCGTAAGACGAGAGGCGCCGCCGTCGAAGAGGATAGTGACACGCCGCGTAGAGAATAGGGCTCGCGACGTAAAAACGTTCACCGCACAGGAGGACACCGGTAGTGCCTCTTGTATGTGCTGCGGAGGTGAACACGCGATCGCAAAGTGTAAAAAGTTAGCGCAAATGGGTGTGGACGACCGGTGGAATTGGGTAAAAGAAGACGGGGTATGTTTTCTATGTTTAAATAGTAAACATCGACGGTTTAAATGTAAAGCAAAGAAATGCGGCATCGACGGCTGCAACGCCCCCCACCACGCCCTCCTTCACACCCGCAAGACCCGCGCACCTGAGACATCGGCCAAACCGGATGAGACCGTACTCGTCGCGTCTAACGTCGGTAGGAATGCATCCGTATTGTTGAAAGTGTGTCCCATTACGTTACGTGGACCACACGGTAAGGAAATAGACACGTACGCGTTGCTCGACGAAGGTTCGACTATTTCGTTGATCGATGACGACTTAGCGCGTGAGTTAGGAGCGGAAGGACCGGTAAAGCCGCTGAATATTAGGGGAATAAGCAATAGTCAGCGCGAGGCCGATAGCAGGCTAGTCAACATAGGCATACGTGGAAAATCGCGCAGCGAGATGTATAGAATAAATGCGCGTACAGTAACGAATTTACAGATAGGTTCGCAGTCGGTGAATAAAGAGTGTTTACGTCTAAAACATTTACGCGACCTACCGAGCTCGGTTTGCTATGAGGAAGCCAAACCGAGATTATTATTAGGAGCCGACAATTGGCATTTAATAATCACCCGTAATTTGAGGATAGGGCGTCGAAGGCAACCTATAGCTGCACGTACGTTATTAGGATGGGTGATACAAGGAACCGTGCCGCGATTCACGTGTAGGGAGGACGGTGAAACCGTGTTACACGTCGTAAGCAGTAGCGGACGGATAGATAGGGACATCCGAACGTTCGCGAGTCAAGACGAGGAGATAACGGAACTCCTCAAACGGCAGTACGAGATCGATTCCATCGGTATCTCGCTAAGGAATAGGCCGCGACGGGAAGAGGAACGCGCTGTCGAGATATTCCAGCGCACCGTCAAGAAGGTCGGCGATCAATACCAGGTGGGACTGCCATGGAAGGACGACGACGTGCGGATGCCTCCTAGCTACGAGATGGCTGCTAGAAGACTGCGGACGATCGAGAGGAAAATGGACAAATCGCCGGAATTTCGAGACGCCTATACCGCGCAAATAGATAACCTCCTGGCGAAAGGATACGCAAGGGAAGCCGAGGGGACGGAGAGAGAGGACCCTAAGAGCTGGAACCTGCCCCACTTCGCAGTACGAAACCCGAACAAGCCTGGGAAGACGAGAGTGGTTTTCGACGCGGCAGCGCGTGCGTCCGGTAAATGTTTGAACGATTATTTGCTTGACGGCCCCGACTTGTTACGGAACCTACCGGGCATACTGTTCAGATTCAGGGAGAACGAAATAGCCGTGTCAGCGGACATTAGGGAAATGTTTTTACGCGTTAAGATTGACCGTCGCGACCAGCCCGCGCAATTATTTCTGTGGCGAGGTAACGAGCGATCCAGCCCACCGCGGGAATACGTTATGACTTCAATGATTTTCGGTGCGAGGAGCTCGCCGTTTCTCGCACATAGCGTTAGGGATCATAACGCGCGCGCACACGCTGAGACACATCCGTTGGCACTTAACGCTATCGTACGTAGTCACTACATGGATGACTACCTAGACAGTTATGCTACGGTAGAGGAAGCGGTAAACACTGCGAGGCAGGTTACGGAAGTCCACCAGCAGGCCGGCTTCACCTTAGCGGGCTGGAATTCGAACCACGCAGCCCTACTAGAAGACAAGCCGGAGGAATTATTAGCGAGCAAGCCTAAGGAGGTAGGCTTGAGACAAGACAGCCCAGGCAGAACCCTAGGGCTATTATGGATGGCCAATGAAGACGCCTTAACGTTCAACACATCCATGAACCGGGTACCGAACGAGGTGAAGACGCTGCAGAGGCCACCGACCAAGAGAGAGGCGTTAAGTGCAGTCATGTCGGTCTTCGACCCGCTTGGACTGCTGAGCTACCTCACCATCACCGCCAAGATCCTGCTGCAAGACCTGTGGCGGATGAAGAAGGTCGGATGGGACGACGAACTACCCGAGGAGGCAGCTGAGGAATTCCAGAGGTGGCTGCGGGTCGTCGAGGAAGTATCACGACTGCGGCTGCCTAGGTGCTATGCTCCTACGGGGGGAGTGGTAGAGCGTCAGCTCCACGTGTTCAGCGACGCAAGCGAACGTGCGTACGCATCCGCGGCGTATTGGCGATTACGATACCGCGACGGAACGGTTAAGGTACGATTAGTGGCGGCCAAGGCGAAAGTCGCCCCGATAAAGGCGCAAAGCATACCACGGTTAGAATTGCAGGCGAATCTGATAGGCGCGCGACTCGCGGAATTCGTGCAAGGCGAGCACAGAGTGGTAGCCGATAGGGTAGTTTATTGGACAGACTCCACTACGGCGCTCCATTGGATTCAAAACGATACGGCGCGTTACACCCCATACGTAGCACATAGATTAGGGGAGATATCGGAGAAGACGTCACCCGAGCAATGGAGGTGGATACCGACCACAGACAACATCGCGGATCAGGCAACGCGCATTAATTATACGTACAAGGAAGAGAGCGACAAATGGTTTACGGGACCGCCATTCCTGTACGAAGAGGAAGATCGATGGCCTCGACGACGGGAAGAGAAGGCAGGGGATGAAGATGACGAGCTGGAGGAAGTCGTGGCGCACCAGAGCGACACCAGGAGCGCTCCACACCTGCCAGACATCGAGAGGTTCTCTTCTTACGAGAGATTGGTCAGGGCCACCGCTCGGATATTACAGTTCGTCGATGCCATGAGAGGAAAGGCGCACGGACTAACATTGGACCACATCCATAAAGCAGAGCGGATGTGGATAGAGCGAAGTCAACGAGAGAGTTTTGCTGAAGACATCAGTCGACTGCAGAAAGGAAGGAACTTGGCAACCGGCAGCGCGTTAAGGAAGCTCGACCCCATATTCGAAGATGGCGTACTGCGAGCTAGAGGACGGATTGACGCAGCCAATGTGGACAGCCAAATGAAGAGGCCCATCATCCTGAACGGACGCCACCAGTTTGTAAAGCTGCTTGTGGAGAAGGCGCATAAGGAAGCAAGCCACGCCAACAGGGAACGGGTAGTGAACGACCTACGCACGAGATATCACATACTTCGACTACGACCGACCGTACGAGAAGTGGAGCGGAGATGTCTGCGGTGCAGGGTACGCAAGGCGACACCTCGGCCAGCGGTTATCGGAGATCTACCACCTGAACGGTTAGGGGCATTCGCGCGACCATTCACCTACACCGGAATCGACTATTTCGGGCCTATAACGGTAACAATAGGACGTAGGCATGAAAAACGGTGGATAGCGTTATTCACTTGTTTGACGACGCGCGCGGTACATTTAGAGATAGTTTATTCCCTAACGACGGACTCGGCGATATCGGCATTGCGGCGCATGGCGGCTAGGCGTGGGTGGCCACGGGTCATCTACTCGGATAACGGGACAAACTTTCATGGGGCGGACACCGAATTACGACGGGCGATGGAAGAGTGGGCACCCCTGCTGAAGGACTACGCGTTGACTCGGCGGACGGATTGGAAGTTCATCGCGCCGGGTGCGCCGAACCAGGGAGGCGCATGGGAGCGTCTCGTGCGCTCGGTGAAGACCGCGCTCGAAGCCACACTCAATCAGAAGAGCCCACGGGAGGAGACATTAGCGACGCTCCTCACAGAAGCCGAAAACACCGTTAACTCTCGACCGTTGACGCACGTACCGGTCGACATCGACGAAGAAGAGGCATTGACACCCAACCACTTCTTGCTGCTGGGACCATCGAGCCTTCCAGTGACCGCGCCGTGCACGCCTAATGATCGTCGGGCGTGGAGAGCGCCGCAGGGACTTGCCGACGAGTACTGGAAGCGCTGGGTGAAGGAGTACCTGCCGACGCTGGTTGCGCGCGGAGACTCAAGGGACGTGCAGCAGCGCCCGGTACAAGAAGGAGACCTCGTCGTGGTGGCAGACGGAACCATGCCGCGGAACGTGTGGCCAAGAGGAGTTATAACGAGGACCTTTCCCGGACCAGACGGCGTGGTACGGAACGTTGAAGTGAGGACCAGGGGCGGATTGCTGCGGCGGCCGGTCAGGAGGATCGCCGTCCTCCCGAGTGCAGCCTAGGCTCGCAAGGCTACGCCGGGGGGAGAATGTTACGGACAGCGAGAGACCCGCCGCCCCGTCGCCCCTTCGTTCCCCGTTACGTCCCGCGCACCCCGCACGCCGGCGCTGATCACGCGATATCGGGCAACCAATCAGCGCGCGTGCGGGAAAATTGCCATCGGGCGGCTAACCCGACGAAATGAAGCGCTCTTCTCGGAAATATAAGAAGGGCGCCTCGGACGTTCATTCGTTCATTCGGGTTCATTCGGGTTCCTTCGGATCATTCAGAAGCATTCACTCGGAAGCGGCAAGGAAGAATCAAGACAGAAGACTCCATACTGAAGACCTCCCTTTTGTATAGTGATTAGTTAATGTACCGAACCCATTGTAAATAGTGAATATAGTATAATTAAAAGTACCATCTTTTCTTCGAGCAGTCCCCTAGTATAGCTAACCTCACACCGCCAGTTTAAATACCAAATACAGTCCACTACTCTCCATCCACTTTACCGGTACTGCGCAGATGGCTAGTCTTTTTTTATAGAATAAGGGTGACAAACGAGCACACAGTCCACCTGATGGTAAGTGGTTGCTGTGGCCCATAGACATCTAAATGTATTCTCGATTACGAGTCAAAATGTAGATGCGTTGTCACCCGTGAGGACTAAGGTGGAATGCCTCGTTTCCAGTAAAAAGAGTATCCGGTTCTCTACACTCACCATACGAAACACAGTAGTGTTAAGCTGCTATTTTACGCTGGTATTCTGTGAGAGCGTGGTCCTTCCCCGGTCGAGCCGAACCATTCGTGCTACAACCATAATATAGCTGCAGTATGGCTCTACCACGTCTCTACGTTGATACTGGCCGCCATGAACGAAATTGGGTTTTAAGGACATTACGTTGTGGTGGCGGTCTTATAACGGCATATTAACGTATTAAATACTCGCAACAACCGATGCCAATACAAGCTTTATAAGTTTCCAAGCACCTCTGCTGCTGTAATATCACACGGATCGGTGGCCTGAACACCTTTTCACCTTAGACTGAACACTTCTTTCTTTTCCTTTTCCGTCCACAGCCAATTTATAAACGTCAATTTGTTGCAAAATCAAAACCATTATCAGTCCATGATATTAAGAACAAGTAGGGTAAACTGTCTCGTACCTTTAGGAACTCCCTCCTGCTATCAGACTAAGTACATATTAAAAATCAGACTTGCTTGATAGTTTTTATTTCTATAGAGGCACGTAAACGTGGCCTACGTCACGAAATTGAGTAGTATGATAGACGCTATCGCGTAACTAACACAGGAGCTCATCTTCATTTTTTTTGCCTATTATACCGTGATGCAGCTGAGCTTATTACGCTGCACCGTAAATAGTTTGTTTGTAAAGAAAACCGTAAATCTAGTAAAATACTAGCCGTTCCATGTTAGTTTTTTTTTATAGGATAGGGTGACAAACGTGCACACAGTCTACCTGATGGTAAATGGTTGCTGTGGCCCATAGACATCTACATTTATCCTCAATGAAGAAACAAAATGCAGATGCTTCGTCGCCCGTGAGGACTAAGATGGAATGCCTCTTTTCCAGTAAAATGGGTCTCCGTTTCTCAACACTCACCATACGAAACACAGGAGTATCAAGCTGCCATTTTACGCTGGAATTCTGTGAGAGCGTAGTCCTTCCCCGATCGAGCCCGCCCATTTGTGCTACACTAATTTAGCTGCAGCATGGCTCTACCACGTATCTTAGTTCTCGAGGGTGACAACGCATCTGCATTTTTTGCACTCATAGTTCTGGTCCCATTTATTCCGTTAGCTTTCTATTGGCGTTAACGATAGAAAGTCAACTTGGCTAACTCTGTTTAAACATTTAATTCTAAAGATGATAAAGGTCGTCAAGCTGGTAAATTAAAACGACTTAAAAAGAAATACAGGTAATGTCTGAAAAACTAAAATAGTAGAACCGCAGTGTGATGATCTCTTTCCTTCCCCAAAACCTTTATTTGAAAACGAGAAAGAAAAACATATTTATGTGGCAAATGCCTTTTCCAAAAGACGTGTGTTCAGCAGTGGACTAGATAAGGTTGATAACATGATTTGATATGATGTAATAAACACTCATGTACAAATTGGACGTCAACAATTAAAACTGCAACACTATGAAGTACAGAGAAATATTTTCATTATTACTAAACGTTAATTGAAGAAGATGTATACATAATACTATCATATCCCACAACAACAGATCACTAACAAACAAGAAGTCTTGAAACTAATTTATCACTTTTTATAATTCAAAGAAAAACATCTTTGCACAAGCACGCAATACATACAATGTTACAAAGTAAGGAACTATGTTATACATTAGGTACTGTTGATAATTCTATATAGTAATAGCATAGTGCGTTTCTGAATGCTTACTTGGTCATTAACAAGCAGGCACTCGACCCACATAGAGCCATTAGCGTTTTAACACATTGCCTACACGATTTCTAATATGGCATACGCACGCCTACACAAATGAGTGCCGGAAGCATGGCGCAAAGCCTAGAATAGTTATCATTTTGTAGCGACAAAGACCTTTTATAAATAGAATATGTTATCATAAACCTCACAGAATAACACCGTTAAATAGCAGCTTCACACTGCTGTGTTTCGTATGGTGAGTGTAGAGAACCGTAGAACCATTTTAATGGAAAAGAGGCATTCCATCGTAGTCCGCATGGGCGACAACGCATCTGCATTATGATTCTTCATTGAGGATACATGTAGATGTCTATGGGTCACAGCAACCACTTACAATTAGGTGAGCTGTGTGCTCGTTTGTCACCCTATTCTATAAAAAGAAAACCTATGCCTGTGACGATTTATTTTTATAATTTTTTTTAAAGAAAACAAGTGACAAACGTTACAAATCTTACCATTTTTTACCCTAGTAGTGCATCATCTGATCATTTATCCTGAAGGATATCATGGGCATCAAGGTAAATTGCAGGTTGTAAGGCGATCCATCTTAGCCCACAGATATAACAAAACTACACGTTTTGGAATTTGGTCTAGGTGTTAATGTGCCTGTTGGCCAAACAATCACCATAAAGTGGATTGTTTTCTCAGATTTCACTTTTTTCATAGAATATAGGTGACAAACGAGCACATAGTCCACCCTGATGGTAAATGGAAGCTATGGCACATAAACACTGAATCTATCCACGGTTAAAAATTAAAATGTAAATGCGTTGTCTACCCTGAGGACTAAGATAGAATGTCCCATCTATACAAATAAATAAAATTGAAGTGTCTGTTTGTAATGTCAGAATAACAACTTTTTACTAAATTCATATGAAAGTATATACGATACTAATAACAAAAACACAATTTTTAAAATACTTCTTTGTCTGTCTGTTTGTTCCGGCTAATCTTCGAAACGACTGCACCGATTTCGACGGGACTTTCACTGGCAGATAGCTGATGTTATAGGGAGTAACTTACTTACTTATATTTTAGAAAAATAGTTAGGGTTCCGCGCAACATAATTAAAACCCTAAATTACACACGGGCGAAGTTGCGGAGAACAGCAAGTTATTAATAAAAAGGTTCTTTTCACTCAACATACGAAACACGAGAACATTAAGCTACTATTCTATGAAAACGCGCCCTTTTTTGCTGCAACTATAATACAGCTGCAGCGGGGCTTTACCACGGTTAATATAAATATTCATACGCTATGTATAGGCTATTCGATGTCAGTTTGTACAACAGCTAAAATAATTAAATTATTAGCATTTTGAGTAACACAGCTGTAAAAAATACATACCTACGATTAAAATGTGCTACTTTTGTAAGCTTTTTAAACGTGGTATAGCCATGCTGCAGCTATATTAGTAGTATAGTTGTAGCACGAATGGGTCGGCTCGACCAAGGAAGGACCACGCTCTTACAGAATACCAGCGTAAAATAGCAGCTTAACACTGCTGTGTTTTGTATGATGAGTGTAGAGTACCGGAGACCCTTTTTACTGGAAAAGAGGCATTCTATCTTAGTCCTCGCGGGTGACAACGCATCTGCATCTTGTGTCTTTATTGAGGATGGATGTAGATGTTTATGGGCCACAGCAACCACGGATGAAAGGTTCTCGAGTAGCAACCTCGTACCGGCGGACGAAGTGTAGGGCGTTCCCTCTAGATGGAGTGACGACCTGGTAAGACATGCAAAAATTGATAAATCTATAAAAGCCAAAAGTCTAAATACATCATCAGAAACCAGAGACGAAGTCGATTAATCCAGGTGGCTCAGGACCGTGCTTTGTGGCGTTTCTTGGCCTCTCCATGTTCAACAGTGGACTTGTGAAGGGCTGTAGTGATGATGATACTGATGATAATTTTTGTAAATAAAAAAATTTGTATATAAAAATGGTAAATTAAAAATTGTAATGTCACTAAATATGTTTATTTACTTCTTCCTTTCTTCCATTGCGATTACTTATTCCATTCATATTTTAATCATTTTATACTTTTCAAGTTTTTACGTGTAGCCAACATTGAAAAATATATACTTAGATTTTTTTTAATTCTCATGAAGTCCCGCTACAACGTTTTTGGCTGCAGTACTACAAGTTTCTGGTGTTCTTTAGCCGAGCAATCAATTGAAGGACCACGCTAAAACGTAGTAATTTGAATACTCTTTGGATTTTATATAATACTAATGTGAAATATCAACGTAATACTCTAGGATGACCGCGCATGTGCATTTTGATTCTTAACCGAGGGTACATGTAGATGTCTATGGACCTTATCCACTTACCACTTTAGACCCTTTTTGCTGGTAGCGAGGCATTCTATTTTAGTCCTCAGCATTGAGTTATATATACTACGTACTAGAGAAGCCATTCCGAACATTGACTATGTTCAACTGAACTGTAGTGCAATCCATACAAACTAAATATTGCGTAAATTGAAGTTTTGTGAATTCCATAAAATAATTATTATTTCATTTTATTTAGAAATATGTTTGTTTAGATTAAATTAAGACATAGAGTAGGACACAATTTTTGTTTGGAATGGCTTCTCTAGTACGTAGTACATATAACTCAATGGTCCTCAGGGATAACAACGTATCTACATTTCGATTCTTAATCGAAGATAGGTGTGAGTGTCTATAGGCCACAGCATCAACTTAATTATTTTATATCTTATTTTATAAAAAGAAATCTATTATTGCAATGTAAATCATATAATAGTATAAATCTATAAATGCGAAATTAAAAAGGAGAGATTTTGGTTATAATAACAAACGTTGTGTAACATCATACGGACAAAGATAAATCAGTACGATAAATACCTTGATATTAAATGATTGTTTATTTTATTTAGTAATATACTAGCTGGCCAGGTAGACGTTGTTCTGCCCT